AAAAACTAATTGATGAGTGCTAAAGTACTATAAAAATGTGATGATTTAACAAGAATAAAATTTTTCGAAATTTCCTTTTATTTTTGAGTTCTACAAAAAAATTAATTTTTTTAAATAGCAACCCACTATAAAATCATTTTTCTCATAAAAGCTATACTCTAAGGATTACAACTATCTGCTTTATTTATAATTTTTTCAAAAAATTTTTTTCACATAAATTGCAATTTTGACAAAAAAATCGCATAACTCAAAAACAAAACAAAATTTCGTTCTGAAATTACGATCACATTTTTTATATTACTTTAATTTATATTAATTATTATTTTCCGGAGGCACATGATTAAAAATAAAACCGCTTGGTTCCATACTTTATATTCACCCTGTATGTACCTTATTAAGTTATTACTATTTATTTTTTAATCTTAATTTGAAGTTGAAATAAATATAGTCATTTCGTAAAATTTGTTCGAAGCAGTCAAAGCATTTGTTTGCTATTTTAAATAAACGTGCATGTTCGCGAAGTGGGAAACGGTGAATTTACTCATTACTTTGGTGATTAAATAAACTATTAAAAATGAGTTCACCTAAAAAAGTGTAATGAGCAGTAGGCAGAAAAGAAACAAGAGTATTAAAACCTAAAATACTTGATACTGTAGAAGTTATAGTTAGTTGAATTAATATTTCGGATACTTTTGACTCGCAATTTTCTAGAAAAATATTTATGGTAAGACAATTCTGTTTTTTTATGACAAAAAAATATATTTTTTATTTTTCACTCAATGCTAATTTAATTAATTTCAGTATATAAAGTAGTCTTTTATCGTCTAGTGAATTAAAGTAATTTCCTATCTACTGTTTATATTTTATCAACTAATTTCAGTAGGTAAAGTAGTCTTTTATCGTCTAGTGAAATAAAGTAATTTTTATCTACTGTTTATATTCAAGAAATTTTGGTAGGTGAGTAGAAAATAAAACGAAATATTATACACGACGCTAAATATTGTTTATCCACAATCACTCTATAAAGAGACATTATTCCACACTTTAGATGCGTATAAAGTACCACTTTATCCACTAGTAGAATAAAGTAACTTTATTCCACTGTTACCAGTAACCAGCGCACCGCGTAACAGCTTACTACGTTTAACCGAAAGCACATTTGGCGTGACGTTTAAATGTCAGTTTAATTTTTAATTAAGTTTGGAATAATTTGGGCCTGATGTGATTGTGGATAAAACGTTACATTGCAGTCGTGTGTTAGTTGCGTTTTATCCACTTAAGAAAATTAACCGTTCGAAATTAACCTTTTCACTCGTAGATAAACAATTTTTTATCGTCTTGTATAATAAATAACTATTTTATATTTTTTCAGTTTTGGGTTCATTTCAAAAAATTGACGCATTAGGTCGCTGCAGAAAAATTGACAAATTGACAAATCTAAATGACAAATTTGAAACTTTGTGGCCTGTAAAGTGCATTTTGTTTTGAATCAAGACGAATGAAATACTTTTATCCGCAAAAGTCACAAAACTGACCACTTTTATGACTAAATGACACAGGTAAAAGTTTTACTTTTCAGACATGGAGTAAAAATACTGTTTTTACGCCTAGGCGTTTTCAATTTTACTTCACACCTACTTTGACATTTACCACTGTTGTCTCTTTCTTGTCTCTTTCGTTTTTTCAGCATTTTCTAGAGAGGTACAAGGTAGATTATCAGCATTCGACATTTTGCACTATAAACTACACCAGTTATTCACCAGTTAAATCAATCAACACTTTCGAAATTTCAACAGAAATTCCGAAACTGACGCGTGACGTTTGTTATGATTTTATTGCAAAGCGTACTGATTATTGAGGTGATTTACTTAATTATTGGTGTGTTGCTCTTTTCTCTCCATCTGAATCGTTTGCAGATAAAATAGCATATGTTATTTGGAGTAAAAGTGAGTTTATGTGGCTCAGCTGAATCCATTTGCCTCACTCCGTTCGGCAAAATGAACGTTCAGCTTCGCCACATAAACAATCACTTTTACTCCTAATAACATAATCTACTATTATTTAAAATACTAAAAGTTTGAATTTTAAACATTCCTACGATAGCGTCATCTATCGGAAACACTTTATGTTGGTCCCAAAATTTCTACGAACGTCAGTTGAATTACGGTGTAAAGAAGTTAAAACACCGTGTATCTGTCATCGTCGTGTATAATATGCCAGAAATTTCCCAAACATATCTAACTTTGGTATTTTTTCGATATACACCAAAGAGTTGGTTTTGCGGGGGGGTATTCTGATATTGTATTACGCCAAAAAACCAAACCCACTCAGGTATATCAACGATCGGTATACTTTTTAAAGATTATCCTGAGTATGATGACTGATAAATTAAAAAAGCACCAAGAAGCATTTTTAAAATAAAAATATTGTTTACCTATGTGAAGAAGCGTCGTCGTAATAATTTCAGTCACTAGTAAATTAACACTTTTTCACGCTTTTATTGCTGACGATAATTTTATAACGTCGATATCACAATGATAAATTTCATGTCAAAATCGGTACCAACTGTCAAACTCAAACTTTGTCATGTTTGTCGCAGCCTTTTATGTCCACCGATAGTACCTACCTAATACCTATTGTATTTCTTCTTTGCTTATTTAATTATTAATAAAGAAATTTCTGAAGTAACTGCAATTGGTAATTAATTAATAATTTAATTAAAGACCGTGGTGTAATTGACAATAATACAATAGGTCAGTTGGTAACACATTTAGCATATAATTAAATCCAGTTACTTAATTAGTTATATCATTAATTCTGGTAAAGTACCTTGATTAAAACTGATGTCCGCTTCAATTTTGCCAACTTCCTTGAGATAAAGAACGACGAAATCCTGTGAACTCTTGACCCGTAAACTGACAACAAGCAATTCATTTTAACAAAGGCGGTAAATAAAACGTTCTCGATTTTTAACTGTCTTAATTCGTAAAATAATAGTTTAGTTATTGTTTAGAATCCTTGAGAAACCCCAAATTATCGATAATTAATCGGCTCGAAATGACTAGAAGTAAATTTTTGTTTGTTCGTTGAAAACAGCAATCACGACTGATCCCATGGTTACCATACAACTAGATAATAATAATTGTGGGTAATGGCGTCATCGTGGTCGTGAGGCATAAAAATTTTGAGGGCGTTCCAGTTTCGATGGCTACTTAACGGGACATGTGTACGACTATTCCTATCCTGCATGTATAAGTACATAGTTTTAATGGTAACCGCAAATTTGATTTTGGCCACGGGTTATGGGCGACCACGTGGTGGGAACCCTTAACTCACATTGTGTGCTAAGTGTTTTAATGAAATTATTTAGTGGTTCAGACATTCAGTGACCTAAATTTTATTTTTGCGCGAATTGAAGGAGTAGAGGTCAAGATGAGTGTTCCGGAGGCAATTGTTAACTAAAATTTATTAATACATGCGTTGTGGTTGAATTTCTTGGGAGAAATTAAACGTGTAGGCTACCAAGTGGTATGACTAATGAAGATGTATGTATTACGATATTACTGTCATTGTTATTGAAAGATTTTATAATTATTCGTGTTTTGTTTTTTGCGCAAACTTTTCAAAATTATATGTTATTACCATCACGCTACAATTTCTAATTAAGAAAAAATAAATAACAAATGTAGTCTATAGAAGCAGTCTTAAATTTATATAAATAAAAATGGCAATCGCAATATAATACATTTTATACAAATTAAATTAATCGGCACCGGATTATAGAAATTAATAAAACTACTAAAGAAGATAAAAAATTGGAGCAACTTATTGATTATGAAAACCACGATTCAAGTTATCAAAAATGCTAATCTTTCATGAGAAACCAAATAATGACCTCGGCAACTTTTCCAAGCAGATTAAAAATGCTTAAAACACGTGTGTTGAAGTTGAAAAAATCTGGTTTTAATTAAAATTTATTTTCTGCGCCTTTTTTGTATTTTAAGACATTTTAGTAATGAGAAACTTAAAGTTAAAAATCACAAAATAAACCATTAAACTCAACATTACTGTTGTTATGAGTTACGTATAAATACAAAATTCAGCACTATAAACAATAGGTAATTAGGGAACTTTCTTCCAGGTTTTCAGAAGGACAGTCACAAGAATTTTTTTCAACGGTTATCGTTCTTTATTTTTAAAGCAGATAAATGTAGTTACAAAAATCAGAACATCTTTATGTAAACAAGTAAACATAAAGTAGTTAAAAATAATAAAAAATAATAGTTATAAAATAAAGAAATAAAATAACGAGAAAATTGTTTTATTTGCTATTTCCATGTCCTAAGTTTAGTAAGTTTCCCAAAGTAGGAATACAATTATGAAATAGTTTGATTAAATAGGAGACATACCGTAACAAATACTGTTAGAATGCATTTTTCGGTTTAGTAAATTTTTGCTACCTGCAATATTTAACGCAGTTAAAATTATTGACCTACAAATGATAATAGGAGTAAAGTAAAACAATTCAAATTTTTGTAATTTATTTACACAAAAATTATCTCAAATGATGGTCCCACATGCAACAATTTACCGTTGAAAAACAAATTTTAATAAGGGACCAGAAATGAGGTCGTCAATTTATTCAATAGGTAAAGAAAACTTAAATTATAAAAAATGAATTTAAGCAGAAAATCAAATTCTTATGAGGCCGATAACAAGTTGAACAGACGGTGAACACATTATTTTAGTATCAGGGGGTCTTTTATGATCCATTACACTAAAAATACATTTCATAAATATTTATTTTAGAACAGTAAATTGAAGCAAGAAGATTATTGATTTGGGTATTCATAACTTTTTAATAAATTAATTTGTGAAAAAATACACCAAGTGAATTCAACAGGTGTCAGATCTGGTCAGTCCGCTAAACCGAGTCTTCAAGCTCTTTGTAACTTGTCGTACTTTCAAAGGGTGATTTGGGGTTGCAAAAATTAACTTACCTGTTATCGTTTAATCAGCATTTGCACACACACTATCACAGCACGCTGTCGAAGAGAGAGTTGTTGGTAGCCGGAGTGAGAGTCTGTATCATGTTGCTTGCACCTGAGTACAGGTAGATACCAAGATGGGCACTGGGCAGTTTCTCTACCACCGTCCTTGGACTGCAGACGCTGACTGCAAGAGGCACCCAACCGAGCCGATATATTTTTCGCGTGGTTGTCTTCATTTACGCAATGCTGAAGTCACTACACTCTATTTACGGAACTCGTACGGTTTCCTTAGGTGGGGTTCGAGGATTTAATTGAAAAGTCGCGTTTTTCCATACACGTGCGGCGCGAAACTTGCACGGATTCGAACTGGTTCGCGTCGTTAACATCCTCCATGGTCACGGCGAACCATCTCGGTGAAACGTGGCGGCCGCTTCGGAGAAGACGTCATTGGTCATGTACGGCTCGTCATACACTCGAGCGTTTGGTGGAGAGTGGAAGTGATCGAACTAGATCGAGATGGGAAATGGAACGCGAATTTGGTAGACCTGGTGCCTACTGAATTCGCCTGGGAAAGAAAGAGAGAACGCAAAAAAGGGAATTTAAAATTCAAATTGTCTGGAGACAGAAGTTATCATTTTTTGTATACAATAAATTATGACACCATATCCACATTTATTGTGCTTGGTTCACATACGATTTTTTTGCGTGTGTAAAAAACAATTCTTCAACAAGTAAGGATTTTACTCGAATTCTAGATATTGAGATAAGACTCATAGACTTTATGTAAATAGCAAAAATAAATACAATTCAGCAAATGTGGAAACACAATACAAACTCGTATATAATAGTAACATTTCATCACTGCATCAATGCATAATAGGTACATTCTTCCGAAATATACAAATTCTTGTCAGTCAGAATGTTATTATTTACCTAAATGCTTCATTTTTTATTTATTCAAGCCCAAAAAATTGAAGCTATGACTTTTACACACATTATTACCTCTTAAAATATTAACAGTTCTGTTAACTTTAGTTACCAAGTTTACCTACTAAATAAATAAACCCTCTTCACAAGAAATGTATTCATATTTTAAATTCAAGAAGCTCGACTACACTACCTTGTCAGCTGCATTTACCCGCATTATTGTTATGTAGACTAGAGACGAAAATAGTAAATAGGGTTGTAAACATATATGGAAATATTTAACGGTGTATTTTTGAATTTGCATTATTCAAACAGTCCTTGGAGTTGTTAGATGAGCAAAGATTGTTATTTATGGTAACAAATTTGCTGATTATTAATTACTATTTTATAACAAAATTTTGGTTGTAATAACTAACAAATAATAAATAAAATTTAGAATACATTTAAATACATTGCGCTCAAAGATTTATAGTAGTCCATCTGAAATAGTGAATATTGACTAAAATAATAAATCTTACAACAGTGCAGCTTAGGAAAGAAGATCTACAAAAGTCTACAGTAAAATACAAATTAGGGTTTCCTTGGATGTTTTTGCGAAGTAGGTTTCAGTTCAGTAGTATACACCATGAGCAATAATGAGCCTAAATATTTTTTTGAAGCAATCAACATAACATTTTAAAGATAATGTGGATATTGAAATATTTGTTTTAATTACTTAAACATAGTAATCGTATTTTTATTTTTTATAAAGTTTATACTCGGAGCCCGTCTATTTGGATATCGCGCTGCAGCCTGCGAAGCGTTTTTTAAATACTCTTCATAAATGAGAATCATGTCGATCTTTTCTTCATTACTAAACATTTTAGTAAATCTCACCAAATTAACTAAGGTTTAATTTCTTATAAACTATAGTTGAAGTGCTGTCTGGTCCCTATGTTTAATTTATTAAAACCAAATATTTTAATATTGACGTTATATTTTTTTTAAATGTAATATTGGTTGCTTCAAAAAATTTCAGGCTTATTATTACTCGTAGAACAGCCTGTATTTGGAGACAGTATATCTTCGTAGGTTCAAAATCGTAGTTGCTTTTTGCTTCTACATTACAGAAAATAGAAACGGTACAGATTTCATTGCCTAGAAGTTTGAAATCATGTTAATTTTTGCAAAAGTAAGGAAGAAACGAGTGATCCAGAAAAAAACTGAAAAAAAAGTTTGGCAATAGTAAAAACAAAATTTTTGAAAAAATTTTACTGGGTATTTTAAAATATTAACAATTAACAGTAGGTTATATGTAATAAACAAAATGTAAATATTCTAACATGTAATTTCTAATAAGAAAAACAATAATTAAAATAAAAATATTTACACATAGAATAACAAAAGTGAAGTAATATTTTATCTGCTGTTTGTATATTTAATTTTTTGTAAATGAATAAATAGTTCTTTTCAAAGTCTTAGAGCTGTTTCAAAAAATTTAATTTTTATTCAAAGTAGCAAAATAGACATACTATACATACTACCTAAATGACCACAATAGAAAAAATCAGAAATAAAAATTATCACACTGCGTATGTAATACACATCAAGTCTTGATGTGTAAAATTTTATATCTGAATAGTAGCCTAATTACAAGTGTCAAAATAATTATTTATGTCATTTTTAATCTAGTGGAGTGAAAATAAGCATTTAATAAAGTAAAACGAGAAGTTTTCAATGAAATGGTCATAATGATGGGCTATTTAAGTAAAAAGTAAGTGATTTTAAAAATTAGTTAAAATTATTGTTTTAAACACAATCTTCTCTTTCTTAAATTAAAAACGATTTGAAAAAATCAGTGCCGATTTTTGCTATCTTGTTAAAATTAATGTTGATGGATAAGATAAATTACTGCTTTATAAAACTGTGTTATTAACAGGCATTAGGCATAATCTCTGGATATCTCATCCACCGACATATCCAATTATCAATAATCCGGTGCAGGGAATTATACAGTGGCCTTGTACGACTTCGTTTTATTCCAATTAAAATTATTATCTTTCCACTTCAATAACAATGCAATTAAAGAGACTACAAGAACATGAAGCCGAAGCAAAATTTTTAACTTTATTATATAACATATGATTCTAAAATCAAGAACTTGCCCTTATATGTGTACTTCCCCTACTCGGTGCGTTGTTGTCGCCTCGAGCATTTCTCCGTCGAGAAGCTCTGCGCCGTATGTCCAGCTTTAAATAAACAATGCTAAAATAAAATGAAGGCAACATGTATCGAGTTCGGAAAAATTCGGTCTACGTACCGAATCCGACATAAGAGTGAATAAAATAATTGGCTAGAAATTGATGATTGCCACGTAATCACTCACATCGTCCGGAAAATGGAAAATTGTTTAGGTTATGGAAAAACCTGTGGAAAACTGAAAAGGCAGGTCATGGCCAGTTCCCCAATCATTCAATCGACGCTTGCGCTATTTTGCGTCATTCTATGCCCTATCTTAACCTCGCGATATGAACATCTTTACGCCAAATAAGATGATTTTTTATCAGTGCGCTAATTGTGACATAACATAGGAGTTAAGTAAGGTAACTGTTACGTAACTGTTAGCACTTTGCCGGGCTTAAATTTTAATTTATTTATGTAGTTTGGTGTATTTTTAGCGAGGCCTGTAAAGGCAACTTGTATTTGCTCAGTAGCTAATTGAGTTTAACTTAAAATTTGTTGCGAACGTCCTTCACCTCCGCTTGAAATGTCGCCGCATGATGAATAAATACATACATTTCTCGGAATTGGTGCGTATTGTTCTTTTAGTTCGGTATATTTTGTTGAATCAACAATTGCATTTGTTAGATTTTATCAAACATTGAGTCAACATACAGGCTGCTTCAGAACTCGAGCCCCAGAGAAAAATGCCAAGTAAGATATTATAAAATATCAAGAACATAGAATAAATGTTAAAAAATTTCTATCTATAAAAATTTCGAAATTATGGGGGTTTAAATTTTGCACTTTGACAACTTTTTTCTGTTGGAAAAATAATTTTGGGTACATGTTTTTTTGCTGCAAGCTATTGGTAGAGGAAACAAAGAAGTTGTATTGTTGTAATTGTAACTATATATGTTTAAAAAAAAAAACAAGACCATAGCCATCGGTAACCTTAAAGAGACATAAAAAAGGCCAAATGTCAAAAAATAAATGTCCTGTTCCTGGCATCTTATCTCACTTGGCATTTTTCTCTGGGGCGCGAGTTCTGAAACACCTGTATATCTATCTACCTGCTTAATGTAGCCTTGAATTATTATTTATCAACGTAACAAGTTTAGTAAATAAATACTGTAATCATTAAAAAAAAAAGTGTTTTTATGGTGGGTTTTATTTTTATTAGAAGCCACTACGACAGGTAAGTTATCAGCATTATTTTGATAAAGACAATTATGTAGGTTTATAAATACTATACATACTATTATGTATTTATTCATGTATATACATACCTACTTCTTTTTAAATACATACAGCGTGTTCCAATGAAAACGAGCCACCCCGAATATCTCTTGTTCTTAAAAAGGTATTTTTAATGTTATACACTGTGTCAATTTTAAAACTTGCAATCGGCAATTTCTCTCAACTGAAAAAGTTATTAATAATCACTCAAAACCGTTTTGGTGGTTCCTAGGGGGAATTTAAATGACATGATAAGCGACCTCCACCCACCCTTGAATATAATAAAAAAATGAAAATTTAACGTCTTCGTTTTTGAGTAATTGGAAAAATGGCTTTACCAAATAGGTTGTTGTATGACATTTTTGAAAAGCGCTTGTTATGAGCTTTCCAACGATGTATTACAAGTAGGGTAGTGCCATTTAAAAGTTTTGGCTTGAAGGGTGGGTGGAGGAGCGTCATGCCATTTTGATTCTCCCTAAAAACCACCGAAACCGTTTTGAGTGATTCTCAATAACATTTTTAGTTCTAGAGATATTGCCGATTGCAATTTTTAAAATTGACACCCTGTATATTTTCATGTATTGATTAAAATGTAATCAAAAAAAAAAAAAAAGAAATAAATGTAATTACAAAAACATAAAAATAGCATTTGAAAAGTAAGTAAGTATCAAAATTCAATAGTACCTCCGCTAAAAATTCAATAGTACCTCCGCTACTTGATGAGAAAAAATAAAAATACCGTAATCATTAAAATATAAGTTGATCAAAGTTTGGTCTTTTCGAAGTCACAGTGCTACTTTTTTGAAATGTCACGTTGAAAATTATTTAAAATTAAAGTTAAAATCTAAATTCGGTGTTTTGTATACGATACAAAGTGAGTAATTCCTTATAGAACTGAATGTAAGACAGTCATCATAATTTATTGAAGCCGAATTTGATACTTAAACAAATTGCATAAAATCAAACAAAAATTTTTTGTCCATGACAACTGTAATTGACGCTTTTACACATTTATTTTTACAAGACATTTGTGCAGTTTTGCACACGCAGTGATGTAGAATAACAAGAAAATTTTAGGCTTTCAGAGACTCCGAAAAAATGATTCTTTATGGTAAATAAAGTCCATTAATGCTGAGATAAATTACCGCACAAATTTATTTATTTAGTATTCAAAAACACAATTCATTTTTTTTTGGCAAGATTCTATTCAACGCTATCTACTTGTGGTGAAAATAATGCATAGATCGTCATGTTTTGACAAATAGAAATTTAAATTAATCGAAGAACGGTCTTCGGCCAAAAAGTTTTGTACATTATTTGTGCGTTAGGTATTTTACAGCTTCGCTTCAAGTTTCTTCACGCTGTAAAATTATACCTACCGCATAATGTAAATAACTATTGTATAACTTTTGCAAGATTGGTCGGCTAGTTGCTGACACTATAAAATAGGTGGGGACAACTCTTCTCACATTTTATAGACTATAGCTACTCCAAAGAATCAAATTGTATTTTTATTGTTTTAAAAAATAATTTTAGTTTCAGTTTTCAATAAAATTGGAATTAAAAAATATATTTATGGAGTTTTCACAATACTCTGTAAATGCGCTCTTTTATAAACACCCTGTATTTTTCATTCTTTAAGTAATCGTATAGATCTGATAGAAAACTATCTGTGATACTGCATCCGTAACAAATTAGTTAGTATAGAAATATTTATAACCCTCTCATTCAATTTAAGAATTTGTTCTTATTTTTTTATTACGTAGGCTTTGAAAATATTCAGAAAACAAATAGTGCGTTGTGTTGCTTGTGATGTGAGCTTTCAAATGAGGTGCCACTTGTCATACCATTACATTTGAAAAAAAAGTTATAGGCGACTGTGCATTTTAGAAAGCAGATAAACAAAAAATATGTGTCAAATGATACGCAAGGAAAAATAAAAATCGACCTGTTTCAGGATTTTTTACAAAAATTGCTTATATTCAAATTATGAATTTTATTCCAGATAAAAATTCCACTCTGTATGATTAGCATGTGGTATTATTTTACGTATTTCATAGTTACATACATATTAACAATACAAATCCTGCAATATGTTTTAGTTAATTTTGATTAAACTTTCGCTATAGGTATTAATACCTAATATGTAATAGTAACTCTGTTACAGTATTTTGTATACGAGTACACCTACTTTAAAATAAAAAACCCTCTTGTTTCTTTAACTTTCTATAATGCAAAAGAATTTTTAACAATAGTATTGATTTTTATAAAAAAATCTGTAAGTGTAAAGTAAATGTTTGAGCGTTTTCTCCATAATTTTTATAAGCACTTCTTTATCATTTTACTTTACTAAAAATTTATTCAATTGCTTTCACCCGAACTGATTTCAGCTCTTATCTACCGTCCTATCATGACGTCCATTGCGCGCTCCGTTTCTCAATTTAAGCGATCTCAAATCGTGCGAGACCTTCAACTCATCAACATTGTTCGTAAAATGTCTACTAAAATTTTAGACATCGGTAAGGTACTTCTTTATTTGTAGCCTTCACTATCAGGGAATCCCCCAGATACTCCTATCGTACCTCTCGCCGACGCTCACCGCTTCATCAGTGATTGTATGGTAGCTGTGGGAACACCAAAGAAGTATGCGGATATATTAGCTGCCAATCTCGTCGCGGCGGACTATCGGGGGCATTACAGTCATGGGATGAATCGCTTAGGTGCGTTTTAATATTTTTTGAAAAGAAATTGTTCAAGCATTTATTTGGTAGATATGTATGTGAGAGACGTCCAAGGGGGACTTTGTGACTGCAAAGCTACCCCCTCTGTAATCAAAGAAACGGCCGCCACAGCTTGGGTCACTGGAAATAATGGTCTGGGGGCAGTAGTGGGAGAATTTTGCATGGAATTGGCCATTAAGAAGGCGAAATCTGTCGGAATTGGGATGGTAGTGGCCAAAGGTAAGAAAGTTACCTTTTCCCACTTAACACTAAATTGAGTTTTTAGAGTCAAATCATTATGGTATTGCTGGTAAGTATAGTTTACAAGCAATCGACCAAGGGGTTTTGGGGTTGAGTTTTACGAATACATCTCCCTTAATGGCCCCGACACGAGCCAAAGGCGTAAGTGTGTTATTCTCACTTTAAACATTGTTCTGAATTGAATTTTAGTCGGCTTTAGGAACAAATCCACTATCTTTGGGGGCCCCTGCTGCCGGTGGAGACTCTTTCGTGTTGGACATGGCAACAACAGCAGTCGCAGTTGGAAAGGTATTCTCATATACAAGTTGTTTCAACTTTAAAAAAACAATTTGCAAATAGATCGAGTTTCAAAAACGAAAGGGTCAAGCAATTCCTGAAGGGTGGGCCCAAGATGCCCACGGCAAAATCACAACCGACCCGTCAGTCGCTTACGACGCTAAGCGTTTAATGCCTTTGGGAGGGTCCGAAATTAATTCGGGATACAAAGGGTACGGTTTGGCAGCATTGGTGGAAATATTTTGTGGAATACTTGGAGGTAGTGCTTATGGTCCGAATATCCGCAAGTGGGGAGATTCAAGCAAGAAGGCTGACTTGGGGCAATGTTTCATCGCGATTGATCCCGAATGTTTTGCGCCAGGGTTTCAAGGCCGGCTGGGTGATTTGTTATGCAGCTTGAGGAATATGCAGCCGGTAAATGGGTGATGGGTTTCAGTGGGACCACTTATGGGTTATTTCAGGCTGATCCTGCTAAACCTGTTCTGGTAGCTGGGGATCCCGAGAGGTTACATATGGCGGACGCGGATAGAGCGGGAGGGGTGAGATATGTGGAAGATCAGCTCAACACATGTCGGGATTTGGCTAAGAAGTTACATGTCAAGCCTTTGGTGGCCGCTTGAAGACAAAGATCTCAACTGTAATATGGGCTGAGTGAAAATTTGTTGATTTAGAAAAGTGTTTCGAATACAATGGCTGTTGATTGGTGCTTAATGACAATGAAAGTGCCAAAGTTATGTTACTTAAGACGTTTATTTATTAATAAATGCTTTTTATGCGTTTTAAACTTACTTCTTATCAAATTAAACATAAGGATTTTTTAGCAAACAGTCCATTACATAATTAGTAACAAAATCTTATTTACAAGTCTTATCAGACAATACAATAATTCAAACATGTGGAAAATTTATTCATACTCGTATCTCTAACACAAATACTACAGATACATTATCCTACATAATGTCAACGAAACTTCTCGATACCAGTAAGTTTTAAAATTGTATTTAGTGCCACTTAATTGTTTTCATTTTTGAAGACACTCCTATAATCCCCTTGAGAGAATGTCGCCGTTTCATCACCGACTGTCTCCTAGCTGTGGGAGCCCCAAAATCCAATGCCGAGGCCTTAGCTGATCTTCTCGTTGAAGCAGATTACAGAGGGCATTATAGCCATGGCATGAACCGAATCGAAATGTACTTATCAGAGATACAAAATGGAATCTGTAAAACCGATGCTACTCCAGAAATTTTGAAAGAGTCACCAGCAACAGCTTGGGTTGATGGTCATAGTGGTTTAGGGGTAGTAGTTGGCAATTTCTGCATGGACCTAGCTATACGAAAAGCCCAAGAGGTTGGCGTGGGTTTTGTGGTCTGTAAAGGTTCAAACCACTACGGCATTGCGGGAAAATATGCGATGCAAGCGATGAAGAAAGGCTTGCTCGGTATGAGTTTCACCAATACTTCACCAGCCGTTGCCCCCACAAGAACTAGACAAGTATAGCAAAATAACGGAGTCGTAAAATCTGTTTAGAGCCGTTTTTTAGGCTGCTTTGGGTACAAATCCGTTATCACTGGCTGCACCGGGTTTAAATGGTGACAGTTTTGTGCTTGATATGGCCACTTCGGCTGTTGCGCTTGGTAAAATCGAAATGAAGAAAAGAACAAATTCAGAAATACCTCCACAATGGTGTGATTCTCAAACTGGTGCTTTGCATCCTTTAGGAGGTAGTGAAGAAAATTCTTCGTATAAAGGCTATGGCCTTGCCGCTCTTGTTGAAATATTTTGCGGCATTTTGGGTGGAGGCGCTTATGGGCCGAATATTAGAATAATGGGAAATTTTGACCGGCTTGCAGACCTTGGTCACTGTTTTGTTGCAATTGATCCGTCTTGTTTTGCTCCGGGATTTGAGGGGCGTTTGAGTGACCTTCTCAATTATTTGAGGGAAATGCCCGCTGTAATTTAAAATTCGGATTAGTCGTGATCCAAAAATGATTTGTGATTTTAGGTCGAAGAGGAAAAGCCGGTTTTGGTAGCTGGCGATTCGGAAAGACTTCACATAGAAGCTGTGGAAAAAGCCGGTGGAGTGAGATATGTGGAAGATCAGATGGAAACTTGCAGAAGAGTTGCTGAAGCTCTTAAAATAAAACCATTAACGCCTCTTAAAAAATAAATATTTTTGTGTTGAAATAAAAATATTTTCCACCGTTTTTATGCTCTTTGATTTCATCAATTATAAATTCTGAAAGTTTGTCTTGGAAGATAAAAGTTTATGTGAAAGTGTCAGAAATTTTGTCAATTTTTTAAAATGTCAACTGATGGGGGATCACTTTCAAGTAATAACGTTTTCATCGTTTTTATTAGTTTAATTTTTTTTCTTAAAGCTTCAACATTCGGGGAAGGTCAGATATACTCTCTTGAAGAAATCCATCGGTTTATTAAAGACTGTGTGATGGCCGTAGAGACTCCAGAAAATTATGCTCAAATTTTTGCTTCCTGTTTAACTGAAGCTGATTACAAAGGTCATTACTGCGAAGGACTAAATAAATTAGGTTTGTTGTTAAAATTTTTAGTAGAAATTTTCACCACTTGGTTATAGTATCGTACATTGACGAAATCCGACAAGGTGGTTGTAATCCTAGTGCGAATCCAGAAATTTTAAAAGAATCACCTGTGACGGCTTGGGTTAACGGAAATAACGGTTTAGGTGTAGTCGTATCAAATTTTTGCATGAATTTAGCAATAAAAAAAGCAAAAGACTCAGGAATCGGATGGGTTGTTGCAAAAGGTTCTAACAATTTTGGAATCGCGGGGATTTACTCAGTTAAAGCTCTTGAGGAAGGTTTGCTAGGCATGAGTTTCACAAACGGATCGCCGATGGTAGCACCAACACGTGCTATGGAAGTACACATATGCCAAAAAAAAATATTCTAGAATTGTAGTAAAATTTTTAGGGTGCTCTTGGCACAAACCCAATTTCGGTTGCAGCGCCAGGTTTAAATGGCGATAGTTTTGTGCTGGATATGGCAACAGCTGCTGCTGCAGAAGGAAAAATTGAAATGCTTAGTAGAAAAAAAATGCCAGTCCCTATAGATTGGGCAAATCCCAAAACCGGTGCTTTGAGACCTTTAGGAGGGCATGAGCCGAACTCGAATTATAAAGGATTTGGGTTAGCTTTTTTTGTTGAGGTTATTTGTGGAATTCTCGCTGGCTCTGCTTATGGTCCCAATATTCGGAGATACGGCAATTTGGGCCAAATTGCAAATCTTGGTCATTGTTTTGTAGCGATAAATCCGGTTTACTTTGCTCCCGGTTTCGAGGAACGGTTAAGCGATTTATTGAATTTTATCAGGAATATGCAACCGGTGGGTAGTTGCTTGTTTGAATTTTGTTTAATGAGATTCTAGGCCGATCCCGACAAACCTGTGATGGTTCCGGGAGACCGGGAAAGGGAACATATGGCTACGGTAGACCAGGAAGGAGGAGTACACTATTGTCGGGATTTGATAGAATCTTGCAATAATTTAGCAGAAAGTCTAAACGTCTTACCTTTAAGTCCTTTAGGATAATAATTGATTTATTAATTCTCTTGTAATGTAAAATATTTTATCAACATAGACTTAGAATAAAAATTTACAATTGGAAGTTGTGGTGGTGCAAATTGTGGGGATGGGCGTAATGGCCTGAATGAGTGGATCTCGGTACTGTTCTTTGAGAAAACTGGGAGTAAGTATCGTCCAGTCCTGGATGCATCAATAGAACAGGATGGAGGTTCAGGGACTTTCTGGAGCCCGCAACACTGGCAGTGTCGGCCACAAAGGCACTATTCATCTCGCCTGAAAACAACAAACATTTTTTTTATTTTTTTGTTGTAAAAAGCTGTGGAATTACCTTTGAATAGACTAGCTGGAGCATAATGGGGGTCAGGCTGCAGCCTGACGTGTCTCGTCGCGAGAATGAAGGCTAAAGTAGCCAAAATAACGGCATCGAGGCACCCAATAGCGGCCAGTAGGTAAGCCCATCGTATACCACAATTGCCCAATTCGTACTTATCCGATGCCCCACAAACCCTACGGATGCTGTCTTCGGCCCATCCGGCCGGGAAGCACACGCAACCCGCGATCATGCAAATCGCTGAAAAACCGAAGGTTATTAGTTACTGGATTGGCAATAGTGAAGTAATTCGAGGTAATTGAACTGTGAAATTGCTGTTTCATAATACACCACGTTGCACTTCCTAATCATTTGAAGAATTAGTCGGATTTGTTAGCAAAATTATGAAAGCGGTCGCATAAAACGGGCGTTCCACTTCTTGATTCTTCACAAAATGGAGAGATTATTATCGGAAAAATAAAGATTTCGAGATTTGATGCAATTAGAACTGGAGGTAAAAAAAATAGTTATTGCATAGTTTGCAAGGACAAAAAGCCGAAGTTGGAAATTCGAAACAATGACACTGATTCTATTAATGTGTAAATAATTTATTCTATTTTGTTCGAAAGTGTGAAATTTTTCTTTTCACTCAAACAGAAAAATATAATCAAAGAGTTCCCATTGTGATTACATAGATATTAGAAAATCTTGTCACAAATGAAAGAAACTCGTAATGATATCTAGCAGCAATAATTGAATAATAACTTTGTTTAAACATACTGTGTGATTTTCAAGTATGTGTAAATATTTTAACAGGTGATAGTGGAGCTCAAAAGAAGTCAAAACAACTAACTTGCCTTATCTGAATGTTCATAGTTTTTGAGATACGAGTATAGGCGTTGGAAAAATTGTCCAAAAAAATGCAATATAAACGAATTTTAAACATTTTGAGGACTTTATCTCAAAATTTAAATTGCTAGTAGCCGGTGACATTGGGGTAATGAAATTCTACAAAAAAATGGATCCAAAATTTTTACCATAATTTTTTTAAATTTTGTTTGCAGTGAATCTATTTTCTAAGTCTTGCACGTTGTGCTAATTTATTATGTACAGTTATGACTACTCATGACAGATGTAAAAGTAACTTAACACTTAGCTGTAACAGTTTAACTTCTGACACTCAATTTTCAACAATTAAAATGAAGCTTATTTAATGAAATTATCTCTCCTCTTTTATACGTATCTCATAAATCAACCTTTCCTGACTTATTACTCATAACTTTATCAAAAAATTAACTTTCTATTTGCGCACTTGCAATCATTATTCATTTACGCCTTGACAATTTTTACCTCATTCTTACTTGCTCGTTTATGGTCGCAAATTTAATATCAATGTGTACCAAAATTGTTACGTTATGCAAATCCATGCAAGAATTATGCAAGAAATCATTAGATACATAATAAATAATTTATGTTATGTACATATTTATAAAGACATCAAGATGTCATTCTCGCCATTTTTGTTTTCCTTATATCTACAGCTGCTTTCACAATTGAACACTTTAACATCGCATTTCAAATGAATTAAATGCATCATAAGCTACACTTTTACCAATTAAATTTTACCAATGGTCGTGTGGTTTCAACTCGATTAATGACCCACGCAATGTTTTGATCGTATGTGGGTTGTAACATCGTTTTCACTTTAGACTTTTTTTTTGGTAACACACTTAACCCGTAGTAAGATTTAGGTCAATAGGTAAAAAGTTAAATTTTTACTAACAAATCTTAATTTAAATCAAAAAAAATATTCAGTGAGAATACGTTATGTAATGATCAACACGTAATAATAGACAATAAAAATCCTTAGATTGGCATAACTGTTTGCCCAAGTATGGGAAGAACTAGAAACAATAAGTATTGTTTTTAAAGTTCAACACGATCACTTTATAACATGCACTTTGAGAAAATTTATTTTGTTAAATGTTTCACAGTTGACCAATCTGAACCTGGATTTACTTTCATTATTTTAATGCGAAATGCGTTTAGCTGCCGGAAATAGAAACTAGTTTCAAACGCCAATTAATGACTTTTCTGCTCCAAACTTGAAAAATTTTGCATTTCTGAAAGAAAAACTTGTTTTCATAAAACTGATCGCTCTGTTAATTAATTAGATGATAATCACGATAGTGTTTTGTATACAAGAAAATAAAGAAAATGTGATGAAAACCATGGGGAAAGTATAGAAAATGATTGTAATCAGAAGCTTCGGTTGTAATTTGTGATGACTCGTGTTTGTTCTATAATTAATATCTAAATATGTATGTGATTATTCATGAAATCGTGTTCTTGCATTTCTTACCTACAATTGTAAAAAGTTTTATTTATGTAAAAAAATAGCCATTCAAATTGCAAAAATATAAATTTTCTTTCGCTATAATCAAAGATCTTCACGTTTCTTCACTACTTTCAGTATGGTAATGCTGGCACATTTTTGCCGTTAAAAAATTACGGACATTAGAATTATAAAAAGATAAATCTATGCTCATCAGTTAGCAGTCGACACAAAAATTCATCAAACACATTTTGCACAGTTTCACCATGATGACGATTATTGTAACTTTTAGATCATTTAAGTGTAACAAAGCAGAAAATCGTTTTATGAAACATGTTTTGTAGATTGTCTTCGTCAAAACACAAAACACTTTCATTTAGAATAAAATGTCATGCTTTTTCCTAGATTGTTATTGTAGATAGATTAGTGATGAGTGTTTTTTTGAAAGAATTAGCAGCGCAAAACGTTTTATTGCAACAAATTTAATTATATGTAAACTGAAAAGAGCATGGTTTTCTAATTTTGTCTCTTATAACATAGTTATTATTACACTGCAATTTTTAAACACTGACAAATATGCACTAAGTTAACTTAATTTGTAGGTGTAGTGTTTTCTCTAGACACAAAAATAAAAAAAATATAATTTCAAAATCAAGCAGATGTTGATAACCTGTTACAGTTTCTTTTTTTCATAGGATGTTAACACTGACCTTCAAAATAGTATTATACTGCTCTCACCAAATTTTGTATAAGATCGTTAACACGAATTATAAAGGTAGAAACGGTAAAAGTACACCGTTTCCCATAATGACGTTATCATAAAACGTTTTATTACAATTTCATTTTTGTCGTTATCTAACAAAATAATAAAGTAATTTTTATGCAATTTAAGAAAAGTTTTCATCAGATTTTATTGTTTAAAGCTACAGAGAGTTCTATCAATTTTTAAATTTACTGAATCTACTTTGACACACATTATTATATTGCATTTGATATTTTTATATGTACACATTTACTTTTATTTATTTTATATTTATATTTCATAAACAGAAAAAGGAACTTGAAACATCAAAACATTAAGAGTAAAGTAAGGAAAATATTTTGCCCAAAACACAGTTTCTTTTCGCTTCAATAGTTTTTACCAAAAGGCAAGAAAAATCAGTGTCGTTAACATTAATGACATCACACATAAACCAAATAAAGCCACTTTTTATACATTTTTTTCTAAATTTGGCAGTGGAGTTCAGTTATACTTTTTAATAATTATAGAAAGCTTATTCATTCGGAAAAAAAAACATGAAAAGTAACGGAATTTTTATAGAAAAGTTGCAAGATGTGATACTATGTTCATACATCTGTTGGCAATATTTTGTATGCAAGAACAAACTAAAATCCAAACACTTGGACAATTATTTAGTTTTTAGTTACAAATGTTTGTTTTATATTAAATCAGTTACAATTATTTTATTAGTAAAGATGTAAAGTGAAAAAATAAATATAAATAATGTATGTAAAACACAGATTATTATTTTTTAAATTATTTAGGTAAAAAATATTCATCAAGTGGTCAAAACATTTTGCTAATAGTGCACTTTAGCTTTATAAAATTGAAGAATCACTGACAAAAACTAAAATTATGAAAGTTTTCTTAAACTTAATACACTGGCGGACACGGAATTTTATACATCAAATTTATTCAATTCAAAAAATGTCAATGTAAGGCACGCTTTATTGTCATGATTGACGTTTGAAACTAAACTTTGAAAGTTTTAGTTGAAATTTAATTTTGGCGTCGATTTTCCGAAACAATAATGCCAGCAATACGTGTTTTGATATAAGTTCAGTAAATTATTTTGATTTATTGTCATTTATGTTTTCTCTAGATATCAGGATAAAAAGTACAAAAATCAAAAGTGAGGTTAGTTGCCTAAGGCCCGTTTTACATTTTTATGTCAATCGAATGACAAATTGTCCAAAATTCCGTGTCCGCCAGTGTAAAAGTCGTGTCATCACATACCATTCTAATTTAAATGAAAAAAAAAACTGACAATTTTTGAAAAACAGTGACTATACTAGTTTTTCTCCGCTTTTCAAAATAAATTGTTTGGTGATTCTAAATATAAATGAATTCTTAATTTTCTTTTCGAATGTTGTCTTACTCTTACCCGAGACCAACTGCGTCCACCCGCAGACGTGAAAAACAGTCGTCGAATGACAAAAGAAGAACAAAATCATGGCACAAATTGTCAAAAGGGCACTGACCACCGCCAAGCCGACAAAAACAGTCGCGGCCTGAAAAGCACTACTTGTGATACTCATAAAATCGTCCAGTCTGCCCTTGCATTGTTCACCGGCCTCTTCCGCATAGCACACCGACCACAGTCCGAACTTGCCTGGAGTCTCCCCATCGATGTCCCCGATCCATTCTGGGGTGACGAACGACACTACGCCGATGATGGCGTAGCAAATGGTGAAAATGGCCCAGAGGACTCCTATGGCCTTTGAATTGCGCACGTAGCTGGTGGCGTAGATCTGCGACGAGTCCACATACTCGATTTTGGAACCCATTTTGGGAGGCTTTACGGACACATAGCGCGAAGATGGCGATGGGCTTGTGGAGACACGAACGAAGAATGATTTCACCTTCTTTTACCTGACACACCTGAATGCCGATGCTTCCCACCTGGCAGGAGGGGGGTCGGAGATAGGTAAAGGTATAAGGTAAGTTGGTTTAGCTAAGTGGGACCAAGTCAAACAAAGACTTAGAAAAGAGGTTTTTTCGAGTTGTTTGGTATGTGGAGTAAAAGGGATAAAATGGGGGCCAAAAAAGTCGTGGGTATTGTGCAGAAGTATAGAGAGGGTCAGTTATTTATATTTTATTGTAGAATTTTTTGCAATTCTGTAAAGTATATACCTAACGCAATGTTGTGGAAAGAGTTATCTATCGAGCAAAATTTTTGCTATAATTTGTATATTTTAGCTGCCAATCAATAAATATAACTACGCTGTGTTACAGTGATTATATTACAGTCATTGGAGTTGGTAACGAGTGTAGCTACCTGTTAGCAGGAAATCGATAAGAAAGCTTGGTGCAGCAGAATTCCTAAAGATGGCACAGCACTGGAAACTAGAGTTTATATAATTTATTACTTGAAAATTCTAAATATAAAAAAAGACTTTCTGTTAGTTTGTTTATTGTTTAATTACAAAGTTACTGAATAAATTATAAACATAATTACATATTAATCTAACAAGAAATTAGTTGAATAACAAAAAGTAGGTACAAAGTAACAGAGCTATATACACTATCAATAAATATATTAAAAAAAAGGAACACAAAAAAGTAAAGCAGGCAAAAAGGTAAAACAGCGACCAAAGCGATGAAAAAAGGACCTACAATAAAGATAAGTAAGTAATTGCTTTAAAATCTGAAAAATGGAAATATAGCGTGATCATTTAGAACTGTTTAAGTTGGCAAGATTTGAAAATATTTTTGTTAATAATTTGTAACACTGTAACCGAATACTGTTTTGCTTGACAAATACTGAGTACCTACTCTCTTGTACGAGCCACTCTTGAGCTAGAACCACAAATTGTTGTTAATTAGAAGCAGTGTACTCCAGTGGTTTTCTTTAAAAAATAAAGTTAGGATTGCCAACAGATTTATTCATTGTTGATTACTTTGTGGTTTATTTAATTTACGTTTACGTTTAATTAAAAGTTTTTTAGAGCATTTTTTGGACAAAATTATTTACAAATAAAAAAAGTTGTTACCCACTCTATTTCTAAAATTCCTAGCGGTATATACATATTAATTATTTTAGACTAAATTTATATCACTGCTCTCTGTTTACATTGAATTTAGTGCTAAAATATTGTTCTCGTTAAAAGGCAAACAAAACGCAATACTTTTTATTTTAATATAATTATTTGTGTTTTATATAAACCCTTTTTTAATTGCAAGTTTCATTATCGGGAGAGTCCTCTCGGCATACTTGTTTCGATTTTTCACCGTTTTTGTAAAAGTTTCAGTGATATCCTGATCGGACTCTGCTACTTCCGCCAAATCGCTCACTTCGTCTTGTTCTGACACACATATTCTAGCAATTGCCGGCAACATCACCAGTCCAAACAATGCGAATCTCTTCCATTGATTCATTAACTCCTCATAAGGAAAGACTTTCTCCGGATCACTTCCCAACTCTTTAAGAAAATTCGATAAACTCTCGTAGTACGCACCCACGAATTCATCAAATCGTTCGGTGTCTTCCTTTGAAAGACATGTAAATAGAAAATAAGACAAATCGTAAACGGGCGACGCTAATCTGCTTATTTGAAAGTCCAAAAGACATACTTTAGTTAACTGCATTTTCTTGTCATCCTGAAAATTGAAATAATTAGATTAAGTCATGGTAGTAAAGTGAATTACTTTATATTTAAACATAAAGTTGTTATTCCAGCAATCTCCGTGAAGGATTACAGCAAAGGGATCGGTAGGGTCGGTTATCTCGTTGTATTTTTTTGATTTTTTATGTAAAAGTTCTGTTTTTTCAACAATTTCGTGTTCATTTCTTTCACGTGCAAGAGTTATAATGTCTTTATAAAGATTAATATCTTCGTTCACTTTCATAGATTCTTCCATGAGTTTCAAAATATCTCTTAGTTCCTTTGATAAACTTTTAAACAGTTGTGGTTTTTGATCTCGCAAAGCAAAGGAAATTGCATGAAATTTTCCATAGGTTTGAACAACTTCCAAAATGTGCTCTTTATTCATACTATTGCATCTATCGTGTAAAGAAAATCCTCCATTTTTAACATTTTCCAGAATTAATACTTCCATATCATCCATGATAAAAGCATCGTAACACTTTGGTACATTACTGAAAGGGTCTTTAACTCCTTTCTCCCGCTGAAACTCCATAAAGACCGGTAGAACTTTCGTGTAGAAATAAATTTCATTTTCGAAAACACTCCTGATCGGTATAATGTCTCTCAATTGCGAACTCTTCTTGCCACATTTTATTACAAGGCTGTAATTTTTAGTTTCGGTTTCAGTTTTGCCAGAAATTTCAACGAAAGTTATATCTCCTAAATAATTGTCACCTTTTTCAGAACTACCGGAAATGTTCACATGGAAATTTTGCACGTTTTCTTTTACTAAAAAATGTTCCAGCCATTTCTCGATGTCACTTTTAGTTGCACGATTTGCAGAATTCATTGTTTGACTTGATAGGAAATTTTCAACTGATGCTAAAACTTGAGTAAAAATCTATTATCATCTCTGATAACAAATTTTTAAAGACCTTTTATGAGTGCTTATTGCAAAATATTATTAAAAATTACAAGGACATACAATCGTGAATTTTCTTTGTTGTACAATTATCGAAATTGTATTGGCTGAAATAAAAAATTGTTGATTTTTCCCACAAGGTGTATGTTTTGTTATAATTTTTTTTTTTGTAATAAAACAATGTTTTGATCACAAGGAGGAATGAAGGAAGCACGCATTTGAAATGAAAAGTATAAAGCTTTGCCTAGGGTTGTATCACAGACGTGAGAAATTTAATTAAAACATGTTTTCATTATTGAAGAATTTATTTTTTGAACTCAGCGCCTTCAAAATAACATTTCGCAACCGAAACAGTTAATCGCGAACGTAGCAAAGCAAGCAATTTCTTCCAATGTATTTGTCAAAATATTTTTTTGTTCTCTAAAGCATCAACTGGCAGTGGTGTGGATGTAAACACAAAACCATGTGCCTTCTTGCTTTGCAATCAAATAAATTTTGTCTTTCTCATTGGTCTTCGCAAGAAGAAAAAGTTCTTTCTTTAATTTTATAACGTCAACTGGCGTTAGTTTTGTTTTCAAGAAAATTACTTTTAATAAATTTTGGGATCAATTTTGTTCTTCCTTCTCTTTATTTGTTGCCGTGGATATCACTCATTCAAAATTCATACTTTTTTCTTTCAAGGTTATGCGGTGCGGTGCTCACTTTAAATTAAAATATCTTTAAAACGGTCCATTTTTCGGGTATTGAAGGTTATGTGTTTTTTATTCAAAATTGATGACTCTCTTGGTTTGAGCAATAAAAAAATAATGTTAAGAGGCCAAAAAGACGAAAAAACACAGAAAACATGACCTGCAACTGCTGGAACCGGAAATTAAGTAGATGTATCCGGTTTCCGTGACTACTAGTTTAAAAGGTATGTTCTTGGAAGTAACTTTTCCAAATTTTACAATATTTGGTCAAGTAGTTTGAAAGTTGTTACAAAAAAAATAACAAATTTCCATACCCACATTTCGAGGGCTGTAAAATTCTTATCACTAGAGATAGGACACGAGATATTATTTGAATTAACATTAGTTTATAGCTCATTTTTGAGATTCAAATATTGCTTTATATTTATGAATAACCTTGTATAGCAGGACTTTAAGTTTAAGAGACAAAATACAATTTCAAAGAAAATTCCAATTTTTGACACAAAAATCACAATTGTGTTGCTCCGTTACTACAGGTTAGTAATACATTTTATCTACCCTTGCGGTTAAAGTGAATCTTATCTTAATTTTATAATATTTAAGATTACTCATGGCATAAACTTAGTTTTAACCGATAGAGATACTAGAGCTATCGGATTTAATATTTGATAAAATTAATAAAAATGCTATCTAAATGTATCGAAAAAGATTGAAAATAGAAACTTCAAAATAAGTGTGGTCTTTTAATTCAATAAATAAATTACTTTAAATTAAAAGAAATAAAAGAACTAGAATATCAAGTTGGCTGTGTCTTATTTTGCTCTTACTACAAGCCAGTATAGATAGCGTCGGGTCGGCGTTTTATATGTTTTATACTTATTGTCTATGTATAAGCCAAGGCCATATGAATCAAAAAGCTGCGCTTATAAGGAACGTTTCTGTTTACCGATTTCGATCGCAGTCGATTGACACTTTTTAGACTTTTTATTTTTAGGTTAAGTGCTTAAAACATCAATTAAAACATGAATGCTATAAACTATCCAAAATCCGAGCTTATTTTATAGCCTAAGAGCCCGCAGTCGCAGACCCTCGTCATTTTATAAAAGTTGAAAATTTGTCAGCGCATACTACCAACACAGGTAGGAACGATGGGCAAGTATGAAGTTTGGGTCATCGTGGCTTTGGGAGATAACAGGTAGCAAAGAAGTAAAAAATATCAACTTAAATTTATCAAATAAAAACGCATAATTTTTTTCACCTCATCCACAAATTTCAACTTTTATAAAATGACGACGGTCTGGCGACCGCGGGCTCTTGCTCTATTAGGTTCATTCTGGACTATCAAAATACTAATAAATTAGAACTGCAATAAAACATGAAATCATAACACGAGGTAGGTTAGAACAATTTATAACTTCAATATTTTTCTGCAAAGTGATTTGTTAGTTTGTTGAGTAATCTGTAATTTTTGTAGTGTCTTTAATAGTTTTTGCAAACCGTTTAGTTTAACGCTAACCTTAACGACAACGTCATTTAATTGTCGTGTGTACGTCTTTCAAGGGCAAAAGGCGTATTCCGTCAATTTAAAGACGTTTACGAAAACGTCTTATTTTTTAATTTCTTAGCAACGGCCATTTGTCGTAATACGTTAAACTTTTTTACGGTTTGCAAAAACTCTCTATTATTACAAATACAAAGTAAAATGCTGTCTTATCATTTTCTGCATAAATTTGCTTACCGCAAAACATTTCAAAAGTTTGAAACGGCCTTATAAGAGTAGCTTTTTGATTGGTAAAAGCGTAAGAGTAAGCGCCATCTATTATTCATTATGGTAACAATCAATTTTATTAATCAGAAAAAACGCTAATATTCGTCTAAAATAACTGTACAAACACTACAAACCTCGAAGCACTCCTTCACCGCTCGTACCTCAAATAAAGCGCTCATGCGCAAAAAATGTCATCTCGCTTTTTCTTGTTTTTAAACAACGTTTTGATAGCTTCAGTAAAATCCGAGGTAAAATCTTTTTCCGTCTTTGCCACTTCGGCTAAATCTTACACTTCGTTCTTGTATATCTATTAATTTATTTAAAACAGAAATATTATTCTGGTCTCTATTTACCTTTAAAGAAACACTACAAACATCAAGAAACTCTTCAAGTCTAAATTTGCGGCTAATAACAATGAAATAAACGTACATGTAATAGGTATACGCCAGCTTTCAGGGGGTCTGGAGCCTTAATAATGTTTGGCATCATGACTCAAACAACAAGAAATTCTTATACTAATTTAACAATTCTTCACAGAGAAACATTTTGATCGGATCGCTCCCTATTTTTCTGAGAAAACTACAAAGGCTTTATTAATATTTAAAAAAAACTTCATATTTAAACATGGAATTGTTATTCCTGCAGTCTCCGTGAACAAAGGCTGCTTGTATTGGGATAATTTTTCTCAATTCAGTACCTACTCTTCTTCCCACATTTTATCACTAAGTTATACTTTTTATCTTTATTGGTTTTAGTTTTAGAAATTTCAGCAAATGTTAGATCGCTCATGTAATTGTTCAACTTTTTCTTAGTTTCGACGTTGTGGTTGTTAAGAACTTTTTTTGTACGAAAATTTTCAATTACTTGTTCAAGTCTTCTTTCGTTGTTCGATTTGAGGAATTCATTGTAGAAATCTTTAGATAGCAACTTTCGCACTAACATATTTTAAAGTGTACCTATTAGGTCGATTACGTGGATTTCTTGAAACGTGTAATCTTTTATCACATTTATCTGTACGAGCCGCAGTCGTGGTATCTTTTAAAATGTTTTATTAAAGTAATTACTTTCCACTAGTACTTTTATACAGTGGGTCCCAGATAGATGAAATGACCCTTGTAAAAAATAAAAAAAATCAAATACTCTTCAAGTTTATCAAATAAATTTTTTGAACCCCCGTATAAAAAAAGTATGATAAATCATAGATAGGAGTACCACTTGCAATCATTTGAAAATCTAATAAATTTATATCAATTAGTTTCAATTTTGTTGAATCCTAAAAAATAGATTTTAATCATTGTTTGTCCCAGAAATAAAACTAAATATGTACCTGATATTTGAACATCATGTTATTAGACCAACAATCTCCATGAATAATTCCAGAATAATTTCCTTCATAATGTCCACTCTTTTCAAAATTTTCGGCACAATTATTTTTATACTTTTGAAACTTTTTTTAAAACTTCAGAATCTTCTTTTGGATCTAAACTTTCAGATACTTTTTCTGCAATTTTTGCAAGCAATCCACGGAACGTTGCTTGTTTAGCAAACACCATCCAAATATTTTGCAGAGACTTTGTCAATTTCTCAGACTTTTCAAAATCCTGTTCTTTTATACAAAATGAAATTGCGTGAAAATGTCCATAAGTCTTGAAAATCCATTTCGTATGTTGGTCATCAAGTAGTAAATCTTTTTCTCGCATTTCAAATCCCGCTTTAGTGATGACTCTAAAAACCAAAACCTCTTGCCCGGGTTTTTGCAACACGTTACAAATTCCGAAATGGAGTCAAAAGCTTCAGAAATGTGGTGCTCTTTTTCAAGTTGTTGGAAAGCCGGGTATATTTCAGTGTAGAATAAAATTTCGTTTCTATAGACTTCTTCTATGTTGTCTTTGTTTCTTTCGGTTTCTGTTGGAGCTCTCTTTACCGCCAAATGGTGAATGAGGTTAGTTTCATTGTTTGTTATTGAAACTTTGTAGAATTCACCCAAAAATCCATCACATTTGTTTGCATTAAAATTTAGAAATGAGTTGTTGCTCAAAATTGCTAGGTGCACTCATTGTTAATTGTTTACCACTCTACTAAAGTGAAACTTAATGGAAATAAATAGAGATAAGTTTACTTTTAAAGCTAAAATATTATCAGCTGATTCACCTATTGTCGAAAAGGAATGATTTTGTATATTTTGCCAAATTTTTGGAACACTTATTGTATAAATGCAAGTAATGCCAGCAATGTAAATAATTTTCTTGAACTTTTTGATTAACAGAATAAAATGGTTTTTTAATAGAAATCGCCTTATTTTTTACTGTTACAAAGCTCCAATCTTATTCATGCGTACTAAAAAAATTAAAATTCTTATATTAGAAACATCATCGTTTACTTTTGCACTCAGTGGTTTATTGTAATTCTTTTGGCCTGTCGAGTGGGATAATGTGACTGTTTTTTCTTTATTCATCACTTTAATTTGAATTAAAAAAATATCATTAACATTCCAAATTGCGAATATTTTTTTCAGTCTTCTCTAACTACTCTCCTAGGTAAAAGCTTCTCCGGATCATTAATTGCTAATTTTACTAAATATAA